TATATATATATATATATGTGCACAGAAATGCAAATAAGAAATAACAATATCAACAAGCAACAAAAACACATGATATCCATATAGTATCATATTGTATCTTGCGAATTGGAGTAGCCTCTCAATAATGAAGCAATGAAACAAGCTGTTTGACACCAACTACATATATATTCCAAAAGGCTTCACTTCCATCCACCATAAGTGCACTGATTAGATCTGATTAGCACTGATGGATCAGTGCCGGTACCTGCGATTTTTTTGCGAGTTTCCCATAGTAAATGGGACTGCTCGCCAAAATGCGATCGACGCGGGCCACTGTTGGATGCGCCAAAACGCTGCTTTTTCCTCAAGCAGGGACGGGCAACAACGAACTTGACAAAAAAATGTTCCAGTAATCTCAACAACACGTGGAATTAGACATGCGTCTCCAATGGAAAGGTGCAAGTTGTTCAGCTTGACCAGGTGATCGAACTCAACACCCGGTGAATAGTTTAAACTCTGAACGGCAAACAGCATAGAAAAGTTGTGCCATATGATGTTATATGGCTTGTAAAGCCTGGTATATCCTGGTCTCTTGCAAAGGATTCAAATGATGGTGTCACTGAAGGAGTTCACGAATTCTCCTCTACATTCCGGATGGGCCATGCAAGGTGTTCTGAAACAGCATACGAGACCATACAAGGATAGAAAAGGTAAGCGTCTTGTGGCTGGAAGAACGCTCCGAGCCACAACGAAACACAATATGCTACCCAACCTCAGGTAGCTGCAGAATGAAAGGTGCCGCACGGTGCCACATTGAATCCAAAGCAGCATTAGCATGCATTAATCAACATTAATCACTAGCAAACCCCAACCTCCTGAAGTACGCTTCTCTTTTCCACGTTGCGCCCCCCGCTGCAGCTCATTGCAGCTGAGCGACGTCTTGGAAAATAGAAGCATGCCTTGGGAGTCTTATATGGTGCTCTCTTGGAACTGCAAGGGATCAGGTTTTTGTCAGCAAACATCAACAAAGAACACTGGCATAAACTGGCGACACCATTTTGCAGCCGGGCATCCCATAGATGCCGTGAAACCATAGACCCAAGCTGCACCCAAATCAACCAGGGAAAATGGCACTCCAGATACCGTAATCGCCTGTGGCCAGTAACATTTCAAGCACTGCTAAACTAGATTCGCTGTGCCATCCTGACTTTTTCGCTTCCTGTGCCAATGTTCAACAAATGCCAGCCCAGAAGGAACAAAAGGTCAAATGGATCCAAATCGATGCAAATATGTCCAAATGATATCATTCACTCTGAAAAAGGCTTCTTGGCAGCACACTGTGGAGAATCCCGCGTGCAAGACCTTAGCGCAACAGTCAGCAGCAAGAAAAAGCACGAATAGCAAAGCATAGCAAAGCGTTCCCCAAAATGCAGCCATCGCATTCCCAATGGACCCTGTTGGATGGGAAGGCATCATGGAGTTCTACCTCGTACCCCTGCTGGGACTCCATGATGCCTCTAACTGAACCAATGAATAGGTCCTCGCATTGCGACAGGCCCGAGATGGCCCGAGTGTTCGGGCAGCCACCCTATAGCACCAAGCCGCAAGAAGTGCAGCCCAAAGGTTGGACATACTGTTGGGAATGTTCAGCCAAGAGCAGAATGAATGGCAACAAGCCTCCCTCTGCTTCTATTGTCTTTAGCATCTATGGTATATGCATCTATAGTCATTATTGCCCTGACATTCCAAACCAAAGTAAAATGGTCTTTCAAAGGGCATCCCCAGCTTTGCCTGCCACGCTTCTGCGCAGCATCATGTCAGAGCAGCCAAAAGACTTTTAACCAAATCTTAGGTATGAATGCGCGCTTGAACGCTGTGGAATGCAAACAACATTGACTGCTGCCGGGGTGCTATGCCCAGGATTGGATTCTGCCGCATGAAGAACCTCAAAGAATGAGAAAAAATTGGCTTCTTGCCATCCAATCAAATAGCAAGTGTAGTTTTGCCTTGGAAGTCAGCCAGGAAACGCAAATTCGGCCGCCTTTGACTTCAGAGTTGGATTTGAAGTGATGGCCATTCCTGTCAACCCGAAAATACCAGGCAGCCAGGTCATGCAAAATTCGTGAAGCACGCACCGCACCTACTATGATTACCATGGCGAACGCTGCCAGACCCAGCACTTTGTCCTGATTCGTGGTCAGTGTGCGGCAACTGACTCCGGGGATTTCTTGATGCAAAGCCGGCTTCAAAGAAATACATTGCTTGCTATCTAACTAGCGTTGGGACTCCAATCTTGTTGATCTTGCGACTGACTGCTTCCATATTTGCCTTGAATGAACTAGGGCCCAAGTTCTTTATGTTCTTTTTGATTCTTGCGTAGATCCACAAAGCATTGGTGTATGGGGTACACGAGCGCCTTCAGCTTGCTCATGGCGGTGGCTCACCTCAAGGCACTTCCTTCCTATGAAACAGGCTGTAGGATGGCCAGAGCAGCTGCCATCATTCTTCCATGATTCACGGTGGCCAAATACCACCACAGTTGAACGTCTGAATCCTGTGAGGCTAGACTGCTAAACACTCCTCCTTTTTTGACTCCAACCAGTTCTAGATTTGGCGTGCGAATCCTTCATGTAGACCGCTGCAGTTTGGTGTAAAACTATGTAAAACTCATGTCTGTGCTTCGCGGCTTACTCCCTCGCGTGCCCTAAATGATGAATATCTCAAAAGAGTAGCCATGATGAACATGAGTTGCTCAGAGAGGAAAAGACTACGAGAATCAAGGCACAAAATGGCAAATGAAAAAACAATTGGCCTGTCAGGAGTTTGCTTGCAACAACAACCTCATCAAAAGCTGCACAGCTTCAAAACAGGAGACACTGACCCAACTGGCTCGCGGAAAGGTCTCCATTGAGTCCATGATGACCTGCCAAATTGTGGTGCTTGCAGTGCTTGATATTGTATTGTTGAGCCGTCCTTCGTTACCCACAGCAAAAGGGACGCTGCAATGCAAAATGCGCAGAGCCAGCAACTCAACACAGCTCAGGATTCTTGCTTACTAATCTTATCAGGAATCCATGGATTTCTGGGCTTCTTCCATTTCATGTCCAGCCATCACACAAAGTATTGATGCCGCAGTTCGAGGTTTGAGATTCAAACTTGAAGGCCGTCTCTCTTGAAGAGCTTGTCCCGTGCACCATCGCACCTGAGAACAATAAGCCGACTAGTATGGAAATCTTGTCTGATTCAACCAAAAAATTACCAAGAGTAGTAATATTCGTGAATCCTTCCAAGCCTGCTGCCTTTTCGAACCTGCTGGCTTTCTTGGTTACTTGCTTCACGGTAGGCACATCCGAACGCTGTTCTGAGGAAGCTCTCTCCGAAAATCGGACCTAGCCACCTTTGAAGCCTTGCACTGCCCATAGAAGTCTCAAGAATGAATTTGCAAGTCTTGCAGAGCAGGGCCGACTTGTAATTTGCCACATGCCGATGAACAGTGATGAACAGAGAAATTTATCATGCTCGTTCCTATCGGGCATATTTTTTGTTGGAAAAACTCTGAGCAGGTCGGCTCTGTCACCATCCGGCAAAGGAAGCCGAAACCTTCCTAGCAGCTGGCTCGAACAAAACAAAGTGGGACAACTGCAATGCTAATTATGTTTCACCTTGTCTGACCATCTCAGAGCATCTCACATTCTACAACCTGCTTACATCATCTTATGTCTACTTATATAGTACGTACGGCTGCCAATTTCTGCCTCATGGATCAGCATGGAAATATATCATATGTAGCCAACCTCATGACAAATCCTTGGCTAGCACCCATAAGCCGCAACTCCTCAAACCCTTCCAATCGCCTGAAGGACCCACTCTGCCTCGGGCAGGATTCTTTTGTGATGTCTTTTTTTGGTAAATTGTGTGAACGCACTATGAAGTCAAGGCTGGATTGTAAAATTCCCGGTCACATTCACCTACTGTAGTGGCTCAGATGGTTCTGGGTAAAGTTCTTGGGTGCACAAACATGAGGTCGGGTTGTATACTACGAACGAAGGGTTCATGTTCCCAACTTTGACCCATGCCCAAAATCCCCGAAGTGTTTTGTCTCCCTGGGGGCACCACCTGCGCGTTCATGCGCATGGAATCCAGGACCACCTTCACAAGCTTCTCCCAAACTTGGATTGTTGCAAACGACACCAAACAAGCCTATAAGAATCTATGAGAATCTATAAGAATCTAGAAGATAGGTGATGGATGGTGATGGTACAGTTCAATTTTTGGAGGCCTACTGAGAAGTGAAGTAGTGCTTTAATCCGTGGCCAGCTCAAGGTGGAAAAAGTACCTGCTACTGCCAGGGTCTCACCTGCATTGCGTTTGTGTTGAACAAGGTGTCTGCCCCGTCTGGCATCTCTGCCTAAGTGAATCAAGCAAGGGAAACAAGTAAAACAATCACATTGTCATTCTGATCCGCATGCAAGAAATGCGGCCAGTCAATACCGTATAAATTAGAACATGCTTGACTGCATGATAGAAAATCCCTGATCAAAATGGCAAGAGAATCCGGTGGAACAGCAGCGTGAGAATATCCATTCATCGAAGCTGCGATATTCCGAAGAGCTTCGCAACTTTCAGCTTGAAGCCTCACAGCACCACACAAGCTCCATCGAACAAATGCCATAGAGATCGCAGGCACAGGCTACTGTATTTACTGTGGGACCTCCTTAGTCTTACCCCCACTAACACGTTCAGAACGACAAAAGACTTACAGTAAAATGAACAAAATCTGCACGAGACTGCAAATGACTGCAAGATGCTGCAAGCATGCAAGCGTGTGCCCAAGCACCCCAAGCTTCCGCCCAAAACATTCCCCCGACGGTCTGGATCCTTGAATCAGCTTAGATGATCAGGCTGACTATTTACAACTTTGCACGTGAGAGTTGATAGCCTGAAGAAAACTCCAGAAAATCTGTCATCTTGAAATGTTCTTGGATACTGTGAAGTTGAAGCCGGCAGTTTGACAAACACGTACTGCGGGTTCGGTCACTGCCAAAGAGTCAGCACCCAAAAGGGCGAAAATGCATCGAGAGAAAAACCGCATGTCCATTTATTGGCGCAAGAAAATACTGTTGAATTTACTCCTGAAAGAGTGGTCAAGCTAAAAACCTAAATGAGCCAAGGCAGCCTCCAAACAGTTCGGTAGTGGGTATGGAGGAGATTTCAAGCATCCTCAGCAACTGTCAGCTCCAACAGTGGCCCCAAGCTTCCGACCGTTCATTCTTGGGAAATCGCACCATGGCTTTCAAGATTCCCTGCGCAGCAAGGTGAGACTGAGGCAACAAGCACAAAACCCGGAAGTTGTCAGAGGATGCCCTGGGGGACTGGTGGGGAAACCCTGTAAATAAAATGAAATGCTGGAAAAAACCTTCAACAGAGAAGCTTACAAATGAACTGGGTACAAAACCGTCGTGCTGACGTGTATATAAGATTATATAAGATTATATATATAAGCCTCCGCGAACGCACGAAGCAAATAATCACCAGGAAGCATCAAATGGATGAACAAGATTCAATGATTAAAATTACTGTCAACGCACCTTTCCAAACAAATAAGGCCACAAGTTCTGAGCCAAGCATGAGCCATTCATCAATGAGAAATGCCGTTTGCACAGTGTCTGAATGCTCGCATGTTTTCCATACTGCTACTCTCAGCAATACCTGCTGCTCCACTGGGTCTCCCACATCCAAACCTCCAGCTTTCATGACCTCAGAAAAGTAAATGCTGCTGTTGGTAACTTTCCCAAAGTTCACCAAGTGCACAGCCTCCAAAATCCTCCAAGCCTCCAGCTATATTGGGATAGCGCGTCGCGCAAAAAGCCATAGCAAAGCAGAAGGAGTACTGCACCTGGCCAACCAGTGTCCATTGAATTTTATATCCTTTTCCAATTGATTTAAGTGGATCATATTGGGTGGCCACCTGTCACCATGTGTTCGCTTGAGTGTTGGGGCCTGTTTGCGATGCCGACAAGTTTCTTCCATCTTCTTTAAACAGAAAGATGGGTGTCATAATTCAGTATCACAAATGGAATCATGAAGGCACATG